AAAGCTAGAAATAGGTTTATTGTATAATCCACCTATACCATTCTTGGGCATATACCTAAAGGACTTTATATCCTACTTCAGAGATACCTGCTCATCCATTTTTATCACTGCTCTATTTACATTAGCCAGGAAGTAGAAACACCATTGATGTCTATCAACTGATGAATGGATAATGAAAGTATTCATCTGTTAAGAAAAATGAAATTATGAAATTCACAGATAAATGAACAGAGCTGGAAATAATCATTAAGAGGGAGGCAGCCTAGACCCAGTGAGACAAATGTCATACAGCTTTGAATCTTCATATTTGTATGTTTCTTGGGAATCCCTATTGAGCTTAGGCAATCAGTAAGGGGCCATGGGAAGGGGCTTTTGAGGGAAGTTAGATAAATATAATGGCATCAGGGTAAAGAGGGAATAATCCGAACAGGAAGAGTTGAATGGAAGGGTAGAATAAAGGAGAGAATAAGAAGGGGGATAGCTAACAGCAAAGACTTTTTAAAACATCGTGTGGAAATCTACTACTGTAGAAGCTTCCAATATATATGAAGTTGTACAACAACCCTACTAGATACCACAGACTAACAAATAAAAATCATGGTGCCATAAATGGATTACATTTCAGGAGTTCTTGGTTCCTGAGGTTCCATAAACCCACAAATCTTGCAGATGACTGCTCATGCTCTTGATTACCCCTCAAGTCGTGGCCATAGAACATGGAGAAATCAAGCTGTTTCTTGCTTGAGAGCTTTGTCCCTACTGGATGCCCTTCATGGTTCTGGGAGATTCTATGCTTATGACTAGAAGAGCAAAGTAACCATCCATCCATCCATGAGCCTGACAACCTGAATTTGATTTCTAATGGGAAAGAGAGAACCAACTCCAGAAAGTTGTCTTCTGATCTCCTTATGCATGTGTGCAAACACACAGGAACACACACGGACTCAGACACAGACACACACACAATAGATGGATGGATGGATGGTATAAACATAAATAACAAAGGAAAGAAATGATAAAATCGTATTTCTGGAAAGATGGATTAGCAGTTAAGAGCCCTGGCTGTTGTTCTAGAGGGACCCAGGTTCAACAAGTCATAACCATCTATAACTCCAGTTCCAGGGGATCTGTCACCCTCCTTTGACCTCTGTGGATGCCAGGCATGCATACAGTACACAGACATATATGTAGGCAAGTCATAAGATAACATAATTCTTTTTTTTCTCTCTCTCTTTTTATTATTATTAATTCAAGTTAGGGAACAGGCTTGTTTCACATGTAATTCCCCTCTCCCTCTCCCTCCCCTTACCCCCATTCCTTCTCCCCCAAAGAGCGTCTGGGGTCGATATGCTTTCCCTTTTTCAGGCCAACTGTTTATGTGGGTTTCTCCAACCTGGTACAGACCCCTTCGTTCTTCATTCCTCCCTCTCTTCAACTAGGTTCCAGAATTCAGCTCAATGTATTTCTGTGTATGTCTGTCTCTGCTTCCATCAGCCACTGGATGAGGACTCTAGGATAGCATAGAGAGTAGTCATCACTCTCATTCTAGGGGAGGGGCTTCTAGGCCATCCTCTCCTCCACTGCCCGGACTGTCAGATCGTGGATAACATAATTCTTAAAAGGAAAATTGAATTATACCTGTGATTTCTCATCAGGTCTGGCATTTTTGAATGGGTGTGATGGCAAATTGCTTTTCTTCTCTTGTGAGTTCCCTGGTTTTGACCTGGCTCTATTTCCCCCTTAAAATCTTTATATTTTGTTCCCACCGCCATTTTAATTTGTAGAGTTGAGATGTAAAGCCGCAAATGCTTTTCCAGTTTTTTTGTTTTGTGTCTGTTTTTAACATTAGAGGATTTGCTCTTCAGGCAAATCTTTATTCTCTCACTTGGCTATACCTTTCTTCAGCTCACATTTAAATATTTATTCATATTTTCTTTGTGGATATTTGGTTTTTTTCCAACATATCTTTAAATAGTATAGAATTAATTTTGTCCAATATGTAAAGGTTTTAATGGTTTTCCAACTTAATCCCATTTTCTGGTTATTGCTAGCATATAAGAATCCAATATTCTTTATGAGTGTGTTTTAAAATTGTCAGTCATTCTCTCACTTGGCTATACCTTTCTCCAGCTCACATTTAAATATTTATTCATATTTTCTTTGTGGATATTTGTTTTTTTTCCAACATATCTTTAAATAGTATAGAATTAATTTTGTCCAATATGTAAAGGTTTTAATGGTTTTCCAACTTAATCCCATTTTCTGGTTATTGCTAGCATATAAGAATCCAATATTCTTTATGAGTGTGTTTTAAAATTGTCAGTCTTTCTCAAATTCTTACTCTAATTTTAGATGCTGCTGTTTTCTGGCGGCCTCATGGCTATGTGCCAGTGTTCTTCATTCTTAACCAGCACTGTTTGCCCAGTCCCCCCGCCCTCCTCCTCTCCCTCATCCCCTTCATCTCACTAATTGTCTGTCTCCATATGTAACTCACCACCCTCTTGTCCCCTCAGCCCCTCCCTTAAGACCTCATTCCCTTCTCTTGCAGTCCCCTTTGGCTCTCACGTTGTCCACCTGTGTGTCAGTTTGAATCCAAATTCTGCGTATAGAAGAATACATGTCCTGTTTCTTTATCCCTTCATCTGAGGATAGGTTATTATGAATATGGGGCAGGAAATGTGGGTATGGGAGCATCTCTGTGTTGTGTTAACTTACAATCCTTTGGGCACATGCCCAGGGGTAGTATGGCTGGCTTGTGTGGTAGTTCTATTTTTGTTTTCGGAGGAACCTTCACATTAATTTTCATAGTAGCTATAATAAGGTTTATGTTCCTACCAGCAATGACTAATGACTCTTTTCCCACATCCTACCCAGCATTTGTTACCATTTTCTCCCCCCGCCCCTTATTTTTGAGACAGGGTTTCTCAGTTATAACTTTGGAGCCTGTCCTGGATCACTCTGTAAACTAGGCTGGCCTCACAGAGATCTGTCTGCCTCTGCCTCCTGAGTGCTGGGATTAAAGGAGTACACCACCACCACCCTCCTACCATCTTATTTCATAATGATACCCATCTGACTGGGGTGAGGTAGACTCTCAAAGCAGTTTTCATTACATTCTCCATGATGGCTAAGGATAACATTTTGTTGTTGTTTCTTTTCTTTAAATATTTATTGCCCATTTGTATTTCTTCCTTTGAGAACTGTCTGTTCCATTTCTAAGCATATTTAATTGATCACATAATTTGGTGTTCGGGGTTTTAATTCTTATAGAATCTAGATACTAATTCCCTGTTGAATGTAGAGTTGGCCAAGGTTTTCTCCCATTCAGTAGATTGTTTCTTCACTGTGCAGAAGACATTTTATTTCCTATAACCTGCTTTATCAATTGGAATGGCTATTTCCATTACTGGAGTCTTCTCAGGAAGTCCTGGCTTATGCCTGCTTCCTGGACTGTTTTTTACATTTTCCTCCAGCAGTTGCAGGGTTAACTGGTACACAGAAGTCTTTGATCCATTTCGAGTAGATTTTTACCCAGGGCGAGTGGATCTGCTTTCACTCCTTTGCATTTATACAGCCAGTTTTCCTAGCCTGTTTTGCTTCCCAGATTCTTGTTGGAAAACTAAACCTTGGGACAGAGAAAATGAGAAGTGACTGTAGTGAGTTTACAACCTCCCCTGTGGTCACATGAGGAGGGTGCGCTAGGGAGGCCTGTGAACAAGTCAGTGCAGAGCCCAAGCCTCACTTGCTCGCCTGAGTCCTCTGGAGTTGTGCCAGGCTCCCATCAGACAACTCCCTCTACTTGGATCACTTGAAAGTGTGCACCCTCTCTACCACTGCAGCCCCCAGTGCAGCATCTTTTCCAATAGTAATGATAACAACCTGACATGCCATTCCGCTGACCTGGAGGGACGCTACAAACCCTGTCATGCTGTTTCACTTATAGTATGTAGGCTGACTGACAGGGCAGGCAGAATGATAAGTAATACTCCATTAAGCACATCACAAGTGCCTGCTGGGCCATCTGGTCTTGCAGCAAATACCCGGAGACGAAGGCTGTGGAAAAGAGTTGGACAAGACATGATTGTGGTGGTGGTGGTGACAAGATACCCTTTGGTTACTGAAAGAAAGATGGACCCAGGAGAGTGTTGGTTGGGGGTAGAAGCAGATAGCTGTGCGCTCTTGTGTAACGTCAGTCCTCCTCTGACATCTCTGGGGCAGCCCCTGTCCTAGAAGCTGATGCACAAACATCTCTCACCCCTTAACTCATCACTCTTCAGCATTAGCTTCTCACCAGACCGTCTGTCCTTTCTGCCTAGGGATCCAGGTGCCTGTGAATGTGTCTTGAACATCTGCTTCCTCACCAACAGCCTGTGTCCAAGCCTTACCTCCCTGAGACACCCACATCCTTCCTGAGACACCCATCTCCGTCCCTAAGCTGCCCATCCCCCTCCCTCTTCATCTCTGTCTCTCTCTCTATGTTTTCACTTTGTGAGCACACACTTGATTGTGTCTTGATTGGGTATGCCAAGGGATGTAAAAGAATGCAGAGCATTATATACTTACAGCTCTAAGTGTAGTTGAACTGAATTATTCCTTTTCATTTTTATGATGGAGCCCAAAACTTAAAATGCTTTATTCTGTAATTTTATATTGAGTGGCTGAATTTATCTTTACTTGAGGCATTTTTATTTCATTAAATAATTATTAGGAGCACTCATTTTAAAACACGGACTACATAGTAAATTGTCAGGCTTTTCATTTGGGGAATATTTGCAATTATGATCAAATGGAGGGACAGAAGGGTCAGAGTAGGGGCAGGGGAGAAGTAAGGTTGTAACTGAAATGGAAGAAAGGGTTTTCTTTTTTTTTCTTACATGTGAGAGTCTGAATCTATGACATGTTCTCCTTAGACTCTTTCTTTACCTCAGTGGTTCCTGTTCTAACTGTCCTCTTGTTTCCTTTTCTCTGTGTGCACACATGGTGGGCTCTGGAACCCTCAGGATGAAGTTTTAACTGTGATCCGGAGAGTGGATGATAACTGGGCCGAAGGCATGCTAGGAGACAAGGTCGGCATTTTCCCACTCTTGTACGTGGAGGTAAGCTTACTAACATGCCTGTGTGCCATGTTTGATTCACCAGAATGCGGGGCCCTGGCCTCGGAGCCCCTTTCTGGAGTAGAGGGAGACTCCTCCCTAAGTGTGTAATGCCTGCTGCTTCCTGGAGGCGTCTCCAGGAATGACTGCCCCAGTGTATTAGGGTTCCTCTGGCCACATTCAGCGGGTCCCCCCAGACCTGGCTGCTGTCTCTGGTTTTCTCAGAGCCGTCCCTTTCAAATGCCTTCAAGGGGCTGCAGAGATGGCTCAGTGATCAAAAGCACTGGCTGATCTTCCAGGGGACCTAGGTTCCATTCCCAGCACACAGCCATCTATCTGAAACTCCAATTCTAAGAAATCCAGTGCCGCCTTGTGGCCTACACAGGTACCAGGTACACACGTGGTGCACAGACATACCACAGGAAAAACATCCATAAAGAAAAGATGGTGCTGCCCAGTGCCCCATATCCGAAACACCATCTATTCCTCTGGGGCCTTAACTCCATGAACTTCCTGATGCCTTTTTGGTCATGGCATCTAGAGGATCAGAAATTCACTGCCTTCCACCCAGAAGACCTAACTGATAACTGAACTTAGTTTGTGCAAAGGAGGCTAGGGTATGGCTTTGTCTGCAGCTCCAGCAGAGGACACAGTTTAGTGTGCTGCTTGTCCCCTAATGTTCATGAAGAAATATAACCAGTACATTGACCTTGCACCATAGGCATGTCTTAATCCATATTCATATGAGATACACAGGGTCTCCTGGGCTGCCATTTCATCTGGGACCTGATGCCTGATACAGCAACTGCAGGTTTTAGGGCAAGTGTCTGGCTAGAATCCTGCCAGCTCATGTCTGGTCTCATCTTCCTGTCTATGTAGGTACAGACAATGATGTTGAGTTCATGTTGGGCCGTAAATGAAAAACAGCATTTACCACAAGCTGTGCTGTTTCTTCAGCTGTGGTTGGCTCTTACCTAGGCTTGCCAATCACAGTGGGATGAAGGCTGGAGCCAGCCTGATCTGTGCTCCTGAACAGCCCTACCCTGAGAAGACAGACCCCATCTCCAGGAATGGCCATAGCTCCTTGTACACCACAGAACTAATTGCCTTGCCACTCTCCCTGTAATCCTCACACATTAGCTGTCCCAGGCCGGCCTCTGTCCACACTATGCTTGCCCAAGATTTTTCCTCATGTCCTTCCCAGCCAGGTCCTTTGCCTGCTGCCCCAGCCACCCATAGCCCCAGGTCCCAGCACTAACACTTCATCCTTTGCCCCTAGCAGAAGTTCTCAATCTGTAGGTCATAGGCCCCCTTTATAGGGTTGCCTAAGATCATTGGAATTCAGATATTTACATTCCAATTCATAACAGTAGCAAAATCACAGTTATGTAGTAGCAACAAGATAATTTTATGCTTGGGGGCTCACTAAAACATGATGAACTGTATTAAACTGTGTGTTGGGGTCCCAGCATTAGGAAAGTTGAGAACCACTGCCCATCAGTGCTGTGAACCTTTCACCAGCCATCTCTACGCTGAGACCTAGGGCACCTTCTCAGTCATCAGGTGACAGCTGGGCAATGCCCCTTTGCTGGGATGTAAAAAGAAGAAGCCTATACACCTCACCATTAAGAACACAATGATGGAGACCCAAGGGGAGGGGCAAGAATTAAGCCAAAGTTCAACCTTCCAAATCCTTATTCTAGGAGAGAGTAGTGTCTTTATGTTGGTATTTTAGTCTAGGGGAATCCCTCCTCCCCCAGTCAAGAGTTCAAGGATGGTTTGAATGGGCCATAGGTCTGCTTTTGGATGGCTCTAGCCCTGCCCTGTAGCAGGAACACCCACCCAAAGACCTCCATCTAGCACAGTCCTTTTCACAGGGATCCAAAATCATGTGGTCATAGTCAGCCCTCAGGCCAGCTCTCAGCTAGCTAAGGCAAGTTAGGGACATCATGAGCTTCAGACATGGACCCATCTGGGCACATCTCCCATCCTTAACCTCTGCACTAGACGTGTGGCCTGTGACCAACCTTGTCACCTTATGAGACTCAGCAACTCATGTCTTCCAGAGGCTGGAGGTCTAGAGCATCCGGGGTGCATTCTTTCAGTGCTGTTCTCTAGGTCGTGAGAGAGACCAAGAAGGAGACCAGCTCGAGGCAGTGGTAGTATCCTCATCCCAGAACGGATAGGAGCACATGGGAGCAGGTCAGATTATACCAGACCTGAGCCCTTGATCCTGTATGATGCATGGGAAACTTCTGGCACTATTTATAGATTCTGAAAAAAAATATGGGTAGCAAAACTAAAATCCTGATTAAGCTAAATAGATGTAATCAGCCCCAAAGTAAATGTTACTAATGGCAACTGTCTCCTGTGAGATGGTCCCTGGCATCAGCTCTAGAATGCACCATCAGGTGTTTGTTGAACCTCATTCAGCTGCCTACTGGTTTGGGTTCATCCTCTTAGGCAACACAGTAGCTCATTACTTCATCGACAGTAAAGAGGGGAAGTTATTTTGAACCCCTGTCTCTAAACATAGTTTTACCACTGAGAAAAAGCAAAGCCCTGCAGCTGTGCTGCAGGGCATGGTCTGTGGTGCTGTGGCACTCTGCTCTTTGCCATCTAGTGGTACTTGTGGCTCCTGTCTTTTGTCTTGTTGATTTTCAGTCCACTGACTGGGCAGGAGCTGTGAGGAAGCTCAAGAGAGGTTGTACGTGAGTTGGGTTTTTCCAGAGAGATGCCTATAATCGCGTACAGACAGACATTTACTAAGCAAGTTGGCTCATGCACTTATGGAGGCTGAGAAGTCAGACAACAAGCCGCCTAAAAGCTGGAGTCCGGAGGTGCTTGTGGCTCAGTCCAAGGGCAAAGGTCTTAGAACCAGAGACACTAATGGTGGGTCTCTTGGCCTCAGGCAGAAGGCCTGAGAATTGGGAGAGGGTTGTTCCAGTGAAAACTCAACTGTGAGGAATAACTGCCAACTGGTTTTGAACAAGTCTTTCCGAAGAATTTCAGTATATTCTTAGAAACCCATTGTGAGAAAATCCATCATCTGAAAACCTTTTATCATCCACTGCCCTCCCCGAGGGCTTCTGACTTCAGCCACAGATAGGGTACAGACGCACCCTTGAGGGCCAAGGGATAAGTGAAGCTCCCTGCCACACTTCCCAAGGTTTGAACTTCCTCAACCCACTTAGCCAGGCAGACCCTGCCCACTGATGCCGCCCCCTAAGCCTGGGCAGACTTTGCATGCTGTAAGTTCCTCTAGGAAACTCAAGGCTGGAGAGCCGGATGCAAATTCAGGACCTTCCTAGCCCCTGGCAGGATAGACACTGGTCCTGAGCACATGCACTCAGCCTTAGCTAAAGAGAAGTTTGCATGGATGTAGATAGACCAGTATTCCTGGTGTCTGTTGGGTGATCATTTTGGTCATTAGAAAAGTACATTTAGTGCAAGGACAGTATGTTCCCATGATCTCCAAGTACAGAACTCTGTGGTTGCTAGGTTAAAGTCCTAGATCTGGAAAAGGGAAAGAAAAGGCTCGTGCAAGTTTTCTTCAAGACAAAGCTGAGAGTATGTCAGCTGGGCTGAGCTGAGCAGACTCCTGTGGGAAATTAGCGTGCCCGCCATGCATCTGATGCTGCAAGCCTCGCCAATCTCATCCTGGCTCCCGTCTTCTCACTACACAAGGCATCCAGGGTCCTCTCTGAGACTTCCCTCTGTTACATCTGCAAACAAACTCCATCTGTCATCAAATCCCAGAACCACCCTGGATGACAGATGTGCTCCCACTGGCCTGGTGAGAAGTGCCTGTAGCACAGGAGAGAGCTCTGACTGCTTTACTTTCTTAGTGGGACAGGTCATTCACAGGGACAGGAATAAAAATAATAACACCAGGAAGGTGAAAACTGGGTTATTTTTACACTTGCCTTGAGCCCCCTCCACTGCTGACTGGTGACCTCTATCCTCACCCATAACTTATCCTCTGTAGGCATTCCTGAGCCACCTGCCTGCCTCACCACCTTCCATGGCTATAGATGAGAGACCTTGGCTCAGCTCCCCTCGAGCTGGTACACTTGCTTGTCCATTCTTCTTTTTGATCTTTCCTATCTGAGGGGTCCAGGCTGGTGATCCACAAACCAGCAAGACTCACAGTAGCCTTCAAAGCTCTAGTCTTAGCCTTAAAAAGCTCAGTGCAGTGAAGGCTTCTGGTTCCCACAGCATACATAGGTAGTGAGTGTCACCTTCCTTCCCCAAGCCCAGGGGTGTTTCCTCAGTTCTCATCCTTCTGAACTTTGCCTATCCACACACACCCTCCCCTCTTGAAGCCGTATTTCTTAGCCACATGGCTTTCAAACCATTCCCCCATAACTTTTAGACATTTACCCCATTCTAACTCATCTCCTTCCTACACAAAGTTCAAGGTGTTCTTGGAAACCTTCCTTGAATACCATGCCCTGCAATGTCCTGTCTACACACACTCCCCATCTGCCATCTAACCATCAAACAACATAGGATAATGAAGGTGGTATGTTCTCTGTTGAGAAGCCATAGGCTGGCCCCACCCAGACACCTCAGCTGGTGTTAGGTACCCAAGCATAGCTACTGTCAGGGATCCTAATGAGGAATCACTTTGTGGCTGGGCTATAAACCCTACGATAATGAGCCTGCAACAGTCCCTGTCTACTTTGTTGTCAGCCTATGGTGTTTTTCTCCCAGAATTACAGAGTAAGAGACTATCTCCTCGGGGAACAAGTCTTTACTTGGAGAAAAGCCCAGAGAGCATCCTCCACATTTTAAAAAGCAAATTCCACTTTATATTGAGGGTATGCAACATCTTATAAGATGCTTATGCAGTTAAGTGGTTACTATAGTATAATAAATTAGCCCATCCATTAGCGAACATAGCTACTCATTTCCCCATTGGCAAGGACAGCTGGAGTTTACTCCTGCTACAGAAATCCTTGTAATTCTACAGCTGTACTAAGCATCGTGCTGCTGTTATG